CACGGTTAAGGTGTTTGGCGGCAGGGCCATTGGGGTCAACGCACTCACGCAGAGCCAGCACGGATAAACAGCCCGCGGTGTGGATAAGGTTTATATTAACGGCTGTGGTCCAGGCTGACTGTTGTTTGGGCGTCAATCGCCCATGGAGTGCATGGGCCCCATAGGCACCGGCGACAACACCAACAAAGCCGGAGACACCGACTGCAACAATACATGGGTCGTAAAATTTCGCCATACCGTTCCTTATTCCTTCGCTTGCGTTGAGTGTGTAAATCGCACTAAACCAATAGCAGAGTGGAGGTCTGGCAAAAAAAAAAAAAAAAAAAAAAAAGGAACCACATTTCAAAGGGTGGCATTAAAGTCCAAATGCAGGGAGAAAAGAAAAAAAAAGAAGCATAGAACGCAGATTACATGAGGAAATTAAGCAATACGCAGTGCACTCCTTCCCCAGAATGGAAGTGCTTAGCACCCTCCAACGGCGGTCCATCCTTTTTTTTTTTCTTCAGTAACTGGAGCCGCAGCATCAGCAGGAATAACCCAGCAGGGACGGATGTCAACAAAAGCAGCACCGTCCCTGTCACCCCTCCTCAAACGTAGCAGCAACGCTGCCCGCGTGATGGGCAAAATAAAGGAAATCCCCTCCCCCATCTTACAAAAAAAAAACGGGTGCCCCCACACACTGGGAAAAAACAGAAAAAAAAGGCAACTGAAAATCTAGCAAGTGCGCAAAACGGCAACAGCAAAACTCCCAATCAACACCTTCATGCAAACAAAAAATCCCCAGCCATCCACTTTGGGATAGGAAAAGCACTCAAAATGAATAGGAAGGCTCTGCGAATAAGTATACAGGCCACAGGACCCAAGACCTCGACGGCTAGCGGTGCAAAGCAACTGACCCGGCGGAGTGGCACTGGTGCAAAACATGTCCGGGACGACGCTGACGCCGTTTTCTATGCACTTCCTTTCCAACAGGGCGCAGCCGGCATCCCTGCCCCAGGCCATGTCTTCCTCCATTCCCCAATTGGCGCGATAAAATCCCATACTCTCAAAAGCCGACATTGTCAGTGATGTGTAGAGAGAAGCCCCTGAAATGCCTGTCATCAACTCATCCAACGCATTGCGACGTTCCCAGTGGGATCCCGCTGTCCCCCCATAACCCTCGTCCTCCAGCTCCATGCCCGGGGCGGTAGGGCAGTTGTAGTGTTCCCGCGTCTTCTCCTTCGTTATTGCAGAACTCACAACCGTCACAAATTCCTTGCCGCGCACATTAGGGATCTTGCTCACCATACCGAGTGGTTCCATTATCTCGTAGCCAAATCCAAGAGCATGTGCAACCTCGTGTGCGGTTTGGCGCACTGTCGCATCATCACGAACAAGGGTCCGAGGATCATAGTTCAACACAGCAACAAATGGACGACCATCCCGCAATGTGAGGCACGGCCCTGCCCACGCCGCTGCCCCAGTCACGGGTGCAGCACCGGCGTAAATAACCATGTCGGTATTAGGCACACCTTTCGTGTGGTGTTCACGCGGAATCGTAAATTCAGTGCAAATTCCATACACAGGATCCGGCACAACCAAGCTGATCCTCAAGGGTTTAACAAAAAGTCGATCAGAGTGCATTTTAAGGGCTTTGGGAATGACATATGACTCAAAGATATTCTTCTTTTCCTCCGTCAATATATTTTCTCTTCGACAAATAGTCATTATTCCCCGAAGGTCCGACCTTTGTTGCCCCTCTGCAGTGCAGTACTTCTGTGGATTCTTCAGATCCTCCGTAAAAACCTTAAAGCGGATCGGAGCCCAGCCACCGTCCCCATCCTCGCTGGCGGCGGTGTACGCCTGCACGGCGCCCTGTCCCCGGCGCGGCACCTCACGCACCACCGCAGTCGGCAGCCGGCCGTATTTCTTCATTATCGCGTCAAATATGCAGCGGTGCTTCACGGCACGATCGGCGGGATCGGCGGCGAGACAAACACCGGCGCAACACAGCAGTAGAAATATCACTCGTGTGAAAAACAACGTGGTTTGGCATGGTTGGTGCATTTTTATTATTATTTATTTTTCTTTCTCTCTCTCTCTCTTTGTCTGTTCCACCGTTGAAGCAGCTGTATAGTTTGTGTTTTGTGGGTGAATTTTTTCCCTTGCGCCACACAAAGAAGAAAGAGGAAAATAAAATTGACGAAACACAAAATTACAACTTCAAAAAAACAATGACAGCACGTAAGTGTTCGCCCCACACAAAATGGGTGTGTGGCACATTTCTTGAAGAGAATAAGTTGATCTTTTAACTGTGCGATGGAGGAAGAATCATCCGGGTCGAGTGCGAGGCGAGACAGTAACTGCAGTGAGAGTGCAAGTCGACAGAAACACACCGATTGAACACGTGCGCTGCTGCATTGGAATCCTGACATACCTCTCGCCCATTGTGTCATACCGTCCTTCGGTTATCATATTTGGAGGGTGGCGCACAAGGCGTTCCCAGAGCTTGTTTGCGCACAAACAGTTGAACCCAAAACCGCCACGGAGACAAAGGGTTCTTGGCGAAGCTTCTCGTGCGCCACCCTGTTTAGCTGAATATCCGCTCTTTTCCCTTGACGCGTTAAAAGCGCAGTGTATCCTGGCGTCACTCGTGTGCTTACAAGAAAACAGCCGTCCGACGACACATCGCAGCGAAGAGATCGAGCATGGGGAATTATTCCGCCGCCGTCGCTGCTGCCAGAAGAAGAGGCGGGGAAGGAGGAAATGACTCCCCGCAAAGTATCACTCTGCTTCTTTCGTGCATTCATCGATCCGTCCTCCAGGGAGTTAATAGACGTCAGGATACTGGAGCCACCCGTGTCCACCATTCCTATCGTTCCAAAATCACAGCGGCAGTGCCGCATGTCGCTGATGGGGTAAGAAGTGGGAATGGAGAAGCTTCCGGCTATAACCGCCTGCCACGCGTCCTCTGCTGGTGAGCTTCTACCACGCTTTTTCGTCCGGAGAGATGTCGTCAAAGCCTTGCGTAAGTCTGTCACTACAACCGTTCCACAGGAGTCCCCCAGGCCACAAACCACACGAAAGCTATCCTCCAGGGCACAGCATGACAGGATGCCAGCGCGTGGAGGAGCTGCCCGAAATCTTCCTTGGGCAGTCCGACATGCGGAGGCCCGCTGGGGCGCATATGTATTTACGAGTAGCACACCGCCTGGATCGCGCCAGTCCATAAGAGAAACTTCGCCGGAGGAGAAACAGACCACGAGGGATTGAGGTCCCCAGCAGTCCATACACGTGGCGTTGGCCGCAGTACGACCGAAGTTGAACGCATTTTCCTTTTCCAACGAGTCCAAATTGAGCCGATACACGCTTTCACCTGACAGAACGGACACTGTGGGCTCAAATTCGCTGTGGCGTCGCAGTCGCAGCAAAATTTC